CATATAACAAGTAACAATCTATTGCTATAGTCTCTAATTTTAACATTCTAACCCTAAATTTAGTTGATAAAATTCGATTCTGTTTGTGTTATTCGCGCAAATAAGTAAAATTATGAATGGTTCTAATTCTAATAAAAAGGTAGGGTATCACGTTACATGGGTCAATGAATTTTTTTTTATTTTCAGGTGGGTCAATAAAAATAGGTTAAGTGGGTCAATAATGGTGTTTTTGCGAAATTGCAGGATAAAAAAAAAAATTAACATACGGAAATCTCCAGAAAGTAGTTTTGACTTTATATATAGAAAATTCCTTTTCCTGCTTTTCATCCAGAATTTGTTGCATATGTTTTGAAGTTCTGGAAATCGTTTTTTCTGAAGCAAGGTTCATATTGTTTAGATCATTATATTGGACCATGCAGTTATGACATGGCATCTTACTGCGAGCTACTTTATATGTTGTAGTTATTTCGTTATCTTCAAGCATATCTGCCAGAAAAACTGAGATCCGTGCTGTAAAAGATACTGGTCACTCTTGAATTCCAAAATATAGCCCATCTGGTCTTTTAAATAAAGGATCAAGCATAACTTCAAAACACTTGTGATATATCTTATGTTGAAAGCCTCGGAAAGTATCAGTAGTTTTAACCATCGTATCTTAAATTTTTGGTAAAAACCCCAAAAGAACTTTCGAGTTTGCTGAATTCCAAAGCCATGTTGATAGATTTCCAAGCGTTAAAAAAACTGGAGGCCCGGAGGTTTTACCAAGGCTATCGAAAGTTGTTGCATTGGAATATAAAATAACTGACAATAAATGATTAAGCAGGTGAATTTTTTTTTCTGTTTCGTGCATCAATTACATTCGTATTGTTCTCCATACACTTTTACTTCGATACCATTTCCTGCAAAAAATTAAAAGGAAAAATTAACAATAATACAAATTAAAAAATTAAAAAAAAAAAAATTTAAAAATTTAAAAAAGAACAATTATTATAAAATGCGACTATATTTTTTGCACCTATTATATGTTTTTATTAAATTTTCTAAGTTTTATAAGCAAGAAAAAAACCAACTTAACCAAGAAATTCAAGTTTTGCATATAAAAGTTTTAACACAAATAACAAATTTTTTACATTAGGGTTATGAATTAGATTTGGAAAAAGTTTTTGGAATGTAGAACATTTTTACTTAAAACAGCTCACATTAATTAAATAGCCAGTTTTTGATATAATGAATGCGTAGGTGTAAAACGCCATAGGTGCGTTTTAGTAGAATTCAAATTAAATAAAAATTACAATTAAATAAATCTTAAATAAATAGCTAATTAAGCCTGACATACCTTTTTTTTTTTAGAATTTCTTGTAAAGCAAAGTTTTCTGTTATTTTTGGTCGCTTTAGAAGTGTTTGAATTGCTTAAAAAATTGGATGATAATGAAGTGCAAAATAGGTTTCAGAATAACATGCAACAACCTTCTCTTTAAAATCTAAAGAAGGTAATTTTATTTGACTAAGATAATCTTTGCCGCTTTTTGTGGTCTTTGGCAATAGGGATTCTTTCAAATTACTGTGTTTATTAAAAAACTTGATTATCTTATTCCCAATTTTATTAGAAATGTTACCCTCTATAATAAGTTCCATGTAATCACGGTAAGCATTATTGGGCCATGCTGCTAGGACTTGTGGTTTATTTTTTCTTTCGATACTATCCAGAGTATTATCAATGGTTGCTCCCTGAATGTCTTCAGGATCTGAACAAATGTCAAAAACTTCTGCAATTTTATCAAAATCACTTTGACATTCTTTATTTTTAGAATTGTTTTTTAATACTGTAATATAACTTACTATTCGCGACTGATGGTGTTGTATTTTCTTCAATTACAAATAACGAACCATTATTTTCCAGAGATTCTTCAACTAATATATCACTAAAATTTTCTTCATTGGAGCTTTCCTGTTCTTCAATACCTTCCTGTAATTATGAAAATATTGTTAATTT